TTATAGAAATAAAAAATTGTGACGAAGGCTATAAATATTAAGGGGTTAAATATATAATAAAAAAAAAAAAAAAAAAATTAAAGCTCTTTTTTCTTTAATAATAATGACACATATACGTGGAAATAAGAATTCTGGTCATGCCCGAGTAACTAATAAAGCAAGACGACAATGGAATACACGCGAGAAACTTGCTATTCTTACATATCTTGAAAAAACCCAAATCAGAGTATTCGAGCAACAGCTAGTAAATTTAATATTGAGCCAAAACAAATAAGAGACTAGCGTAGCAAAAAAAATAAGTTGATGAATGTTTCACCCCATATCAAACAAATGAACAAAGAAAAGTGACCAAAGTACCCTGAATTAGAAAATGAAGTTTATAAGTGGGTGCAAGAATTATGTCATAAGCAAAAACCTGTAACCCGTGCCATGATTCAAATTAAGGCAAAAGCATTATCCAAAAAATCACTTTACATTACTCAGTATCCTAGTATCACTGAAAGTAAATTTAGTAATAAGTGGGTCGATGGTTTTATGATTCATTATAAATTAAGTCATCGGCGTCGAACAACTATAGCTCAAAAACTTCCAGAAGATTTACAGTCACAGCAGCAAGAATTTTTAAGCTTAGTGTTGTATTATCGAATGCAATTTAACTATCCTTTTACTTTAATAGATAACATGGATAAAACGCCACTATCATTTGATCTTCCTAGTAATACTACTATTGATAATTGTGGTACAAATACAGTTTCAATCTGGACTTGTGGACATGAGAAATCATACTTTATTGTTGTACTTTCCTGTTTAGCAAATAGAACTAAGCTGCCTCCGGTTATTATTTTCAAGTTAGTTAATATTCCACGACAAGTATTTCCTGCTGGAGTTTTTGTTCGTGCAAATCCTAAAGGTTGGATGAATGAAGATGAGATGCTCTGGTGGATAGAGAACGTGTGGAATTTGCGTTTAAGAACATCAATAGACCCACGCTCACTTTTGGTTTTAGATGCATTCTCTGCACATACTACAGACATAGTCAAACACCGCTTCTCTGAAAAAAATACTAATTTAGCTGTAATTCTAGCAGGATTAACCTCAAAAGTTCAACCGTTAGACGTTGCCATTAACAAGTCATTTAAGTCAAGGGTAAAGTACTTACATAAATTTATCCCTTAAACTGTTCTGAGACAAATTTGCCTAGAAGTTTTATAAATTAAATTATTAAAATTATATTGGATTGTAATTTATAGTTTATTTAAGGTTAAATTAACGGTTTAAAGAATAATAATAAATAGGTTAATAAATTTATTTTTTTTACAGGTGCGAAATTACTATAATGAGTGGATGGCTGATGAAGTTCATACCTTTAGCAAAAAAGGCCGTATTAAACGTTCTGCATACAATTTAATTGCTCAATGGGTACTCGGCGCCTGGAATAACATAGATCCTACTCTTATCCGTAAATCTTTTAAGTGCTGTGGAATTTCTAACTCACGGGATGGCAAAGAAGACTATTTAATATTTGATTATGATCAACTTGGTCAACAAACAAATTCACGTAATCATATATATATACATGAAGAACTAAACAGTATTAGTGATAATTCTAGTATCATTATAGAAGAAAGTCCTAGTGTTAATATGGATGAAAATTTGAATGTTGGTACAAGTAAAAGCTTAAATGCCAATATAGGTAAAATCTCAAATGTAAATGTTAATTAATGCTTAATACTACAAGTAACCTAAAATTAATACAATAATGAATTAGATTTGGTGGAAGAAGTCAACTTAATTAGCAATGAAGATAGCCAGATTGATAGTGACGAATATAACCATGCTAGTGAAAGTGAAGACAACAATCATATCACTGAAGACGAATATAATCATACTAATGAAGACAAAGATCAATTTTTTAGTAACGATGAGGATGATTATTATAATACAGAAGGGATTAACTACGTTAATGAATGGGATTAAATAGATCAAATATATATATATATTTTTTTTTTTTTTTTTTTTTTTTTTAAAATATATATATATATATATTTTTTTTTTTTTTTTTTCATCATCATCTAACATGTAATTACATCAGCAGTTAATAAGTTGGGAAATATCAATAGAGATTCTTGGAAAATAAGTATAATCTTAATTTGGATATTTTATATCACAAAAAATCATGCGACTAGAAGGTTAAAACAAGGTATTGTATAGCATATATTTTGACTATATTTTAACTATTTTCATTAATTTATTGACAATGATTTATTATTAAGGCAATAAAGCTAATTGCAAAAAATTTAGAATGCTTTTTCATGGTTAAATCATCATTGTAATAAGGTTAACTTTTATGTAAGGTTGTGGTATATTTAGCTGTATCGTTCGAAGATTTCATACCATTTTATACAGTTAAGATCAATGGTGTTGAGAATTCTCATTATTTTGGCGCTCCTTATTTTAAAATTGGTTTGGTATTATGCTTAATTTCATAACTTAAATTAGTTTGATTAATTTTACTAATACGCTTTCTATTAATTATTAGTAATATTATTAAAACTATGGTCTAGTTTTGTATTTGCATTAGACGATATTATCAGCATAACAACATCCCGGCTGTGACTTTAAAGCATGATCAATTAGAATTGGATGCTGTTTCTTTAAATTTAATAAAAATCTATCAGTTCAGATAGCAAAGCATTTTAGCCTTGCTAATTAAGTTTATTATATCATAATAAAATTTTTAATCATATGAACAAGTCAATAGTTAAGCAATCAAGCGAATCCTAGTTCTTAATGACCAATTTTACTGATCTATTTTTTATATCAATTAAGAAATGAAAAAGATAGAAAATACAGACGAGAGTCTAACCTTACTTAGTACTAATAAAAAATGTCGAAGAGCAATTTTATCATCATATTTGCTGATTTTTCCGGATTACAGCTGTTCTCATAAATTCTGAGACAAGTGATAAAAATTTGGCCGAAATTAATTCTGCCGAATTCGATAAGTTTTTAATCTCGGTACATAAGCTTTTGATTTCGGTACATAAGCTTTTGATTTCTGTACATAAGCTTTTGATTTTGGTAAGTGCCGATAACACTGAAATCAAAAGCTTATCGAATTCGGTAGAATTAATTTCGGCCAAATTTTTATCACTTGTCCCAGAATTTATGAAACAGCTGTAAATTCGAATCAAATCCGAATCAAATCCGAATTTACTCAATTCGAATTATAACCGGATTCATGAAAAAGATTCCGGATTCAATCCGGATGGTCCTGAAAAAATAACAATCTTAAAAGGATTTTCTTTATGATCAATGAAATAGCCTAATGAGCGATGAGAATTTTAAAGCTTTTGTAAATTTTGCATGAATTATTCAGTCTGTTAAGTAAATGCTTACATGATAATTTATCGTGATTAACTTTAATAATGCTAAGTGCTGGTATAACTTTATTTTTCTAAATATAAAGCATAAATTATACCCGGGTCTTTTTTGAAGGGGGTATTTTAATAAGGGAGTACTATGGTTTGCGCTATATCCGGGTACTATTCTATACTCACAAATCCGAACCCATGAAATGTACCCGGGTCTTTTCCATAGGGGGTATTTTAGCAGGGGGGTACTGTAGTCAGCGCCGTACGGTAACTTTTAAGAATTTTGTCTGCATTATCAACCTGGTATATATTTTTGGTATATTATATTGAATAGTATTAATACTTATATTTTGTTTCAAACTTGAAGTAATGAATATTATAAAAAAAACTATATTAATATTTTAGAAATATATTTCTAGTAATCAGCTTAATATTTTTTAAAATCATGATTATCAACTAATTAAATACCTGCTTTTGTAGCTTTTTAGATTTAAGTACAATACAGTAATTGCTTGATTCAATTAGTTTTTTTTGTTAAAGTTTTAATATTTATATGCATATCTAAAAGCAATTCATCAACTATAGATATTCTAGATGTATACCACTTTGCTAAAAGAGTTGTATCATTTTCTAACTTAATAAAATTCTATAATTATATTTATATTTATTATTCTCATTAGATAAAGACCCATTAGTACTATGATTTTTATAGTCATATAATCATGATCTTTATAGTCATTATTATTATTAAATTCTAACTCATATTTTTCTTCAATACATTATTAACTAAAATAGTAATATTGTATAATTCAACCTCTAAAAGGCTATTGGCATTCATTACTATAGAATTTAATATTGCTTTAGACTTTTTTAACTTTGAAGATAATCTTAATAACATACTGTTGTACCAAGAATATAATAAAAAATTAAAAGTTTTCTTTGAGCTTAGTGAGTAATTGAAAATTTTATTTTCTGATAAACATATTCAACTTGTTTTTTATCCAGTTTGGTTTAAATACCAGTGAAATGCATATTTGACAATAGCAGTTCAATTATCTTTATATAGTTCTTCTGATAAGTTGCAATTACATCTATGTTATTGTAAATCAATTTCACAGTACAAGCATTTTTGACAACTAAAACAGGTTTTTCGATGATATTTTAGTTTTGTTTCTTGGGCATCAGCCATTAGAATTATATGTTGAAAGAAATTAATAAATATAAATTGATATATAAAAAAGAAAGAGTAAATATATTTATAGATATTATAAATCTATATTGATTGATATGAGCAAATATATTTATCGTTATTAAAAAACTATATTAAAAAACTATATTGATCGATATAATAATTTCTATAATGATTAATTGCGTAATTAAATAAAAAGTATAATATACAGTAATAGTATAATTCTATATAGATTCTTAAAATTTGATTTTACATTTAGAATCTCAGTGATTCTCCGCTATCATAATCACAAAAATAATGTGCCACATCTTTTTGCAAAGCGCTATAAACTATTAAATTAATACTAATAAGGGTATAGTATTAGATTCACTAAAATTTAGCCTTAATAATATTCATAATACATCATTGCATTATATAATTACAATTACATTTACATATACTTATAATTATACTAGATACAATTTTGTTGTCTTATTTTAACACTTAGATTGTTAGATTTTATAGTAAATTAATGTTCTATCATCAAATTTTCAATTTTTTAAGAGTATTATTTCTACAAAGACTTAATGCTTTTTTTACTTCTGATCCAAGATTATTGCCACTAAGGTTCAAAGAAGTCAGAGTGGTGTTCTTGCAAAGTGCATCTGCTAAGGTTTCCTCCTTCTGACCCAAGATAATTGCCTCTAAGATTCAAAGGATTCAGTGTGGTGTTCTTGCAAAGTGCATCTGCTAATGCTTTTCCTCCTTCTGATCCGAGATTATTGCTACAAAGATTCAAAGAAGCTAGCATGGTGTTCATGCAAAGTCACCTGCTAATACTTTTCCTCCTTCCGGTCCAAGTTTATTGCGATTATAACTTAATATACCTCCACCAATATTAACTCTTTCAGCGTAGTGTTCTTGAAAAGTGCATCTGCTAATGCTAATCCGACATCTGATCCAAGATAATTCGATCCAAGACCCAAAAAAATCGGCGAGGTGTTCTTGCAAAGTGCATCTGCTAAGAGTTTTCCTCCTCCTGATCCAAGATTCTTGTTCTAAAGATTCAAATAAATCAGTGTAGTGATCTTGCAAAGTGCAACAAATATTTTTTTTTATTTTTTTTATTATTATTTTTTTTTTAAAGAGTGAGGCCTGGCCAAGTGCAACAAATATTGGTTTATTGATAATGGTATTGCAAATTCTTAAATATTTAAGATTTTTACTTGCTCGCAGAAACATTGCAAATAAAGAGCATTTGATAGCATTTTCAAGTTTGTTTATTTCGAAATAATTTACATAGAACCCTTCACTTTTAAGCCAGTTTTTGACTCCATCGGAAATATAATAACCAACAGATGTAGTATAACTTTCGTACGCGAATAATGGCTTTGGACAATTTGGAAAATAATTTTAAAGGGAATCAATAAAGCTTGCTCTTTAGCATTTAATGCTAAAAGATATATTCTTATAAGTCTTTTATCTCTAAAATAATTTGTAGGTTCGCTCCATAAGATTTGTATAATAAATCTACACCATTGACGGCTTACAAGAAGGCACGAAAATAAGGTTTTATAATTAACTTGAAAATCATTAAATATTTCAATAAGGCATTCGTTCGGTAACATTATCGTTTTGAAAGAACAATGAATTTAGTACAACTGTAAAAATCGGATTTCGCTTCCGTAATATATTATGTAAAATGTGAAACGTTGTATCTAATTTATATGGCGCAGGACTAGTGATGCAGTAACTTGCCGTAACTATAACAGGTAATATAGTGAGTTACGGCATTATAGCCGTAACTTACTATATTATTTGCTATAGTTATGGCAAGTGACGACTATCATTGAGATGATATTACTGCATCACTATGCAAGACATCTTATAAAAACACAACTTTAAATCGTTTGTAGTGATGGATTTTGACAAAATATATAGAGACCTAACTCTAAAAATTTTAAGAAATTCCAAATCCACTAAATTGCGTTCCCACTTACAATATATATGCATGGCTTGCGCAGTTATATAATTAATTTAAATATTTTATTACGATATAAATATTGATTCTAAAAGAATTCAAAAAGTAACTAGGGATTGCTCATAGAAATAAGTTAATTTATAGAATGTAAATGTAGTATAATATCAGCATGTTTAACTTTGATCAAATAATGGCATATAAATTCATTAATTAATTATCAATGAATTCTAATTGTAAATTTTCTGATATTAAACTATTATATTAATGCTAAGAAGGGATACAGTATTTGATTCTTTAAAATTTAACCTTATTAATATTCATTTTACATCATTGCATTAAATAATTACAATTACATTTACATATACACTAGATACAATTTATTGTCTTATTTTAATACTTAGATTGTTAGATTTATAGTAAAATTAATGTTCTATCATCAAAACACCAATTGTTTAAGAGTATTGTTTCTACAAAGACTTAATGCATTTTCTACTTCTGATCCAAGATTATTGCCACTAATGTACAAAGAAGTCAGCGTGGTGTTCTTGCAAAGTGCATTTGCTAAGGCTTTTCCTCCTTCCGATCTAAGATTGTTCCCGTAAAGTCTCAAAGAAGTCAGCGTGGTGTTCTTGCAAAGTGCATCTGCCAATGCTTTTCCTCCTTCTGATCCAAGATTATTGCGACTAAGATTTAAAGAAGTCAGCGTGGTGTTCTTGCAAAGTGCATCTGCTAAGGCTTTTCCTCCTTTTGATCCAAGATTATTGCCACTAAGACCCAAAGAAGTCAGCGAGGTGTTCTTGCAAAGTGCATCTGCTAAGAGTTTTACTTCTTCTGATTCAAGATTATTGCCCCAAAGATTCA